ATATATATACACTTATATATACATATATATATATATATATGTGTGTGTGTATATATGTATGTATATATACATATACATATACATGTACGCATACATATACATATACATATACATGTATTCATTCATTACGTTGTTTTTGTAAACTATGGTTATGCGTTGTATTAGGGCCAAGTAGTTGCATCGCTGATGAAGCCGTGACCGTGCGTTAATATAAATGTCAGGGCTGTGTAGTTGTTAGCTGAATGCGTTTGTTTTTGTGTAAATGGTACTGCTTTGTCTGCACCTGCAAAGCCTATAGCTCTAGAGCCACGCACATACTTCTCTAGCAGCGTGTCTGAACGAATACGTAGGTTGTTACATTGACGCAACTCTACGGACACCGGTAGTATGTAGACACCAATGAGTCGTATGTCATTGACCTCTAGTCTCGGTGCTCAATGTACTAAGAATACGGCCCAAGCCACAATACTATAACTCCTACGAATCTCAATACGATATCTCTCCAACAGATGCTGTGCGGTACGTAACGGTTGCTGGTACGGAATGCCCCTGTGGGGGTACGCATGTGAAGTCGTCAGCGGAGATCGGTGGTGTAGAGGCCTACAGCGTCAAGACAAAGAAGGGTATGACCAAAGTATACTACAAGATGAGTTAGAAGGTTTATATACTGCCAGATGAGTTAGAGGGTAGATATACTACCAGTTGACATGGAAGGTTGATACACTACCAGAAGAGTTAGAGGGTAAATATACTACCAGATGACATGGAAGGTTAGTATACCACCAGATGACTTAGGTTTATATTCTAACTGATCACTTGGAAGGTTAATAGACTACCAGATGACAGAAGGTTCATATACTACCAGTTGTCGTAGAAGGTTTACATACTACCTGATTATTCGGAAGGTTAACATACTGCCAGATAACCTAATGGGTCAATAATGCGCACCTGGATGCGGCTGTAGCATTAACAGTAGTACAGTCCAGTTTGCCACTTGTGCGGTATCTCATCGCCCCACCGAATTCATAAGTCGTTGGCAACGCGGCCGACAGAGTCACGAGCCTTAATGAGATAACTACCGAATGAAATAAACTAAAAATAGAATGAGATTCAACGCTCATGATTGTACAAGTGCGAAGGTGCTGGGTCTCCGCTCAGTGAGATTTAGAGTATTGGGTTATAGACGCTATAGATAGTCGCCGTTGTGATGAAAGTTTGTATTTGGAGAGCCTAGGCACCGCCGAGTGGCGCAATCAACGTACATACGATTTCAGAGGTCGTTCTGGTCTGTGCATGCTTAGTTGGGAACCTCCCGTCACCTGAGTCTGTATGCCACGACAAAGGATATTCTTATTACAGCACGAAAGGGATGTCAAGGCTAATGACGTGGCCCTCTGAACAATTAATACACAGTACAATTCTTATGGACTGTGAAAGCTGAAGAGAGGCCACTACGGTACAAACATGCACAACAAAATAGACTGGTATGCTACATGACTCTATGTCGCAAAATATCAACTTAGAATAGTGGTGCTTC